AATTAAATACTAGTCTCTATATAATTTATTAATTTTCTCCTGAAGCAGATAATTTGCTCCAACAGAAAATGTTTTCAATTCTTGTACAAGTTTGGAGAAGCTAATTGTGATAATGGAGCAGAATCTAAGGTAAGTAGAAGCCACAGGTATCTATTAAGTGTACTGATCAATTAAAGAAACAAACCCATGCAATTAGGATTGAAGATCCCTCAGGGAGGGCCACTAGTGAGAATCTGAATAAATTCTGTGACCCCCTTCCTAAGTCTGGTAGGAATTTCTCCTTTCCAGTGTCATATCCTTTACAAATAACCTGAGAAGCTGAACAACAAGGCATCAGGACTGCAGGAAGGCTCATTAACAACCTGTGATATGCAGATGAGATAACCTTGCAGGCAGAAAGTGAAGCACTTACTGATGAAGATCAAAAACTACAGCCTTCAGTATGGATTACACCTCAACATCAAGAAAACAAAAATCCTCACAACTGGACCAGTAAGCAACACCATGATAAATGGAGAAAAGATTGAAGTTGTCAAGGATTTCATTTTACTCGGATCCACAATCAACATCCATGGATGCAGCAGTCAAGAAATCAGACATCGTAATGTACTGGGAAAATCTTCTGCAAAAGACCTTTTAAAGTTTAAGGAGCAAAGATGTCACTTTGAAGACTAAGGTGAACCTGACCCCAAAGAGGCTGTGATCAACAGCCTCATCCACACAAAAGCTGAACAATGAATAAGGAAGACTGAAGAAGTCTTGGTGCATTTGAATTATGGTGTTGAGGAAGAATGAAAAAATGTTACCAAAAGAACAAACAAATCTGCTTTGGAAAAGTATACCCAGAATGCTCCTTGGAAGCAAAGATTGCGAGACTTCGTCTTAGACACTTTGGACATGTTACTAGCAGGGACCATTCCACAAAAAAGGATATCATGCTTGGTAAAGTAGAGGGTCAACAAAAAAGAGGAAGACCCTTGCAAAAAAGACATGGAGGCCACATGTTCTGACCTCCTCTAACCCCACAAGAGGAAAACAGAATCAGTATCAATAAGCCAAGGCCTGTTACTGCGAGGCCAGACATGCTGCCTCCCTCCAGCCCTTTCACCAACCATTCCTCCCAAAGCACCCACCACCTCTCTCCTGGGTTTGATAATTCGCTGCAGTGGCCACACAGAACTCACAGATTACGGGGTTTATTAGTGAAGCACCACAGGCTACAATTCAAGTTCAGGAGAAATGCTCAGCCTCTCTCCCAGCCCACTGTCCCTCAGCCAACAGTCTCTCACAGTCTCTTCCCCAGCAGTGCTGGTCCCTCGGTGTCTCACTCAGCAATGCATGTCTCTTGAGTCTCTTTCCCAGCAACGCATGTCTCAGGAGCGTGTGTCTCTTTCAGCAGCACATCTTCCTCAGCCAGAAGTCAAAGAGAGTTCTGCCTCTACCAGGTATCTTTTTGAGCCCAGCAGAGTGGCCAAACCAACCAATCATAACATCAGAATCCTAAACACCTAAGAGAGAGTGGAAACCTCCCAGAACATTGTTTAGTGCCACTCCCAACACAAATACCCCAAGTGGACAACTTTAGCAATCAGGAGCTCCTCAGTTGCTCATGGCAAACTCCATCTTGGAGTTTACAAAGACTTATGGGTAGAAAAGCCACACTAAGTAATTTACTACACCGCAACCCTCAATGAGATGAATTGACAGTGTCTGCAACAAAGGGTTCAAAGATAACAATTATGAACATGGCACACAACTGGGCAGTGTTTTCTTCTGTTGCACATAGAGTGGTGCTATGGAAGAAAGCCCTGACAGTCTGCTTCAGTAAACATAACAAGCAAGAAAATCCCATTGAACATTCTGTAATGTACAGGGTTGCCATGAGTCATAACTGGCTTGATAGTAGTGAGTTTGGTTTGTTTTTAATACAAATGAAACATATTAAGATTCAGGAAAATACTAAGTATTTGTTTTATATGGGTTATTGGTGGCCCTCTTTCTTTTCTGACTTAAAAGTAAAATCTATAGGGACAAATTTCTGTCTCCTCTCTAATCTTATTTAAAGAGCCTGAAGGGCCATTATTTTGGAAAGACTGAAACACTAACTTTACAGGCTTCCAGATAACAATTAAAGAGACAGGCCACTGCATACTAGGATTCAATTTTCTTGGTTTCCTTCTTGTCCTGGGCATCCTGTTAGACTTAATGCTTTACTGAAGTCAAAAGTTACTACAGGAGGCCATTTTATGTTCATATCATTTTTGATACAGGAACACCATTTTCCCAAATACTGGCACTTATTTGGACCTATAATAAGTAAACAAGAATAAAGAGTTTTGGGAGGAGGAAAGAGGCTCTGATCTTTAGAATGACAGGAATCCACAGTATGCAAGCACAAAACACCAAACACTTAGTGGATTCTATCAAAGGCCAGAAAGAAAAAAAACACAGCTACTTCCTGTATTCTCAAATGGCAGAGAATTTCAGAATCTTCAAACAAATGCAAACAGCCAACAAAAAAACTTAATAAATGAATCAGATTCCAAACTAATCACTTAATGATTTGGCCATAAAACCATAATGCAAATTCTGCTATCACTGTTACCAATGTGTACCCAATCCTTCAAACACAATCAAAAGCAGAACCAAAACAAGAAATAAACTTGGGCAAGAATAAGATTTAGCATGCAAGAGCCAAAGATTACGATCTTACAACAAAAGAGCCAAAGGAAGGTGAGCAGAAAACTCAGAGATCATGTCTGTACAAGGTACTCCTTCAAACCACACACTGGTTTCTGTTGTAGACAATGTCTTCATGGAACCTCCAGAAACAAATCGTCAAGAAGTTAATCATTAGCTTGCTGTTTACTTGTATGGAAGTGAGAACAAACAATGGGATTATTTCATCTAACAAAGGCAAAAAGAAAAATTATGAAGAGAAAGGGAGGGAAAAAAAAATCTTCAAGCAGCCTGGGAACAATAAATCTCATTTGCACGTTTTTTGGGTAAAACTGATTAGTTGGCAGTTAGGATAGAGGTCCATCTGGATTAGTCCTTGAACAGGCCCAACTAACACCCAGGGAGTCTGACTCATAATGACCTTATAATATGACAGAGTAGAACTGCCCAGTAAGATTTCTGAGGCTGTAAATCTTTATGGAAGCGGACTACCTCATTTTTCTCCCCCTTATTGCTGGTGGGTCAGGACTGAAACCTTTTGGTTAACAGCCAAATGCCTTAACCACTACACCACCAGAGCTTACCCAACTCAAAAAAACAAACCAAGCTCATTGGCACTTGGTCACTTCCAACTCATAGCAATCCCCATTGGGTTTCTTCCAAGGCTGTAAATCTTTATGTAAATAGTTTGCCCTACCACGGAGCAGTTGATGGGAGCTTTGGTAGCATAGTGGCTAAGACACTTGCCTGCTAACCAGACGGCTGGCGGTTCAAACCCACCAGCCACTCCTCGGAAGGAAGGTTGGGCAATCCTACTTCCGTAGTGATACTGCCTCGGAAACCCAAGGAGGGGTCGCTATGAGTCGGGTTTGACTCGACGGCACATAACAACAACAACAACAACAACCACGGAGCAGTTGATAGGTTTCAACCACCTTGTGGTTAGCAGCCAAAAGCCTTAACCACTACACCAGTGCTCTTTAGGCCCAATTAGGACCGTAGAAAAAAAACAATTTCAGGTGAAGGACTTCAGAAAACCGCGAGTTTGGCTGAGAAACATGTCTGGCAAGCTTCCTCCATCAGCACCTCTACCTTAATTAGGTCAAAGCAGCAACATTTCTCATTGGAGTTACATAGGTGGACATCCAGTTGAGTGATTGCAGAGCTATTTAAATGGAGGCCTGTCTGGCATCAAAAATAGGCCTTTTTAAAGCTATATACTCTTCTTGAGAGTCAAAGAAAACTGCAGCTTTAATCATGTGCCTTTTTACTGAGTAATTTCTTCATCTAAATCACGTTTTATCTCAATGCACAAAAATATTTTTCCTTTTAATGTCTCATTTATTTTACTATTCACTGTTCTTAACGGAGAAAGCAAATTTCAGTTCTACATGATGAAAATGTGTTCTAGACTTGGAAAAAACCTCAGCCAGGAAAAGTGCTTCACTATTTTATCTGAAAATATAAAGACCTGTAGCAAAGATCATAAGGAAAGTGTTCAATGGATAAAGGTGTCATTTCCCAGGCCACAAGTCAGCTTGCAGTTGTCTGAAAATGCAGAATTCCTTGAGTCCCTTTGATTTTGCTCAACTCAGTGGTTTCCCTCTTCTCCCTAAACACTGCCAGGTATTGACTTTCAGTCAGCTTCCTATGGAGGTTTAACCGGCTGCCCTAGCACTAACTTTAAGCGAGCTTCTCTTAAAGCTTTAAAATTTCTCAATGCTGCCTGTAGCATTAAGAGCCACTTAGGGACCTATTAAAATTCCCCATGCTCAGACTTCACCAGATCAATTATATATCAACCAGTAAGCATTGACTAGGGAATCCAATTTTTTGTTTATAAGCCTAAGTGACGCAATGCACAACCAAAGTTGAGCACCATGTAAATGAAGCGTAATCTAACAACTTTGGAAAGGCTGAGGCTAAAATATTACAGTGGTTGAGTACAGTTCAGTCTGGTTATACATGACTCCCAAATGCAAGATAGGACGCTTGTCAGCAGGTATAGCCTAAAAATAAAAGCCAAACTACCCAAAATGTCACAAGAGTCCATGAGGTGAGGTGGCATGGCAAAACATTGAGATTGTTATTACCAGCATATTAACTTCCTTTCTAAAACTACCTTACTTCCATAGGAAATGGGAAAGCTACAAACCACTGTGGCATCTAAAACCCCATCTCATTTAAGTTGGAACAGTACTTCAACAGCAAAAACCAGTTTAAAAAAAAAAATTACAGCTCTCTTTGTGGATAAGTGGGTGGCTCTTAAAAGAGCCTTTGGAGTTAAGAGTAAAGATGCTTAAGATGCTTACTTGGTAGATTTACTTGGAGCTAGTGTACTTGGTGACAGCCTTGGTGCCCTCAGACACTGCGTGCTTGGCCAGCTCCCCAGGAAGCAGGAGGCGCACAGCTGTCTGGATCTCTCTGGAGGTGATGGTCGAGCGCTTGTTGTAATGAGCCAAACGCGATGCCTCGCCTGCAATACGCTCGAAGATGTCGTTGACAAACGAATTCATGATTCCCATGGCTTTGGATGAAATACCGGTGTCGGGGTGGACCTGCTTCAGAACCTTGTACACGTAAACGGAGTAGCTCTCCTTGCGGCTGCGCTTTCGCTTCTTACCATCTTTCTTCTGTGCCTTGGTCACAGCCTTCTTGGAACCTTTTTTCGGTGCAGGAGCAGATTTTGCTGGTTCAGGCATTTTAGTAAGCCAAAACACCGGCAAAGCAGTGAGGATAAGAAGCAAATTTCTGCTACTTATAGGGCCTTTATGCTAATGAGGAGTGCAAAGAGAGTCTTACTTAATTGGAAGACAAACAGGAAACCTGTCATCCAGGGGCAGTGCTATGCAAATGAAGTAGAGAAATGCAGCTTTTCTATTGGCTACTTGCTACTAGCCAATCAGAGAGTAGGCTCTACTCCCCTAAAAATGCCTATAAAAGCGGCCATGCTGTAGCTACTTCCTGGATTGTTCTGCTTATCTGTGTGTGTTGTTCTTTTAATTTGGGTTTGCAGGAGGTTTTTTTTTTTTCTTTTTCTTTCCTACTTATTATTTGAGATGTCTGGTCGTGGTAAGCAGGGCGGTAAGGCTCGCGCTAAGGCTAAGTCTCGTTCCTCTCGAGCTGGCTTGCAGTTTCCTGTAGGGCGTGTGCACCGCTTGCTGCGCAAGGGTAATTACGCAGAGCGGGTAGGAGCTGGTGCTCCGGTTTACCTGGCAGCGGTGTTGGAATATCTGACCGCTGAGATTCTGGAGCTGGCGGGTAACGCAGCACGCGACAATAAGAAGACCCGTATCATCCCGCGCCACCTGCAGCTGGCTATTCGCAACGACGAGGAGCTCAACAAGCTTCTGGGCCGTGTGACCATAGCCCAGGGTGGTGTCCTGCCCAACATTCAGGCGGTGCTGCTGCCCAAGAAGACGGAGAGTCATCACAAGGCCAAGGGCAAGTAACTTGTTACTGGTCTCAGCTTTAGGAACACTTAAAACCCAAAGGCTCTTTTCAGAGCCCCCACCCTTTCAAGAGAGGAGCTAAAACTCAGGGGTATACTTAAAAAGTTACGCGGAAAATACAAAGGTAAGTCGACTACAAGCTTTACTAATGACAGAAAGTTAAATTTTTGGATAAGTCTCAATATTACTTTATTACTGGTAAGTTTTTTGAAGTAACTTAATGTATGATACAATGTGTTTTTTTAGAAACGAGGGAGTTGCCTGTGGTCGGTAAAATACATTGCAGAGCCACGCCACGTCTCTAACTTGAGCTCAAATTTTTAATAACCGACTCCGAGGTTCTTGTAGGCAAAGCCCCTCCCCACGAGACGGTAATCTAGCCCTGTTCGCCTAGGTACCTCTCTGTTTTAGACTGCGAGCCACCCTTGCCTCTTCCTAATAATAAAAACTACTAATTACTACTAAGGAGCTCTGGTAGTATAGTGGCTAAAGCACTTGACTGCTAACCAGAAGGCTGGTGGTTCAAACCCTCCAACCACTCCTCAGAAGGAAGGTTGGGCAATCCTACTTCCGTAGTGATAACTGCCTCGGAAACCTCCAAGGAGGGGTCGCTATGAGTCGGGGCCGACTCAACGGCACATAACAACAACAATTACTAATAAGACGGACTTCAAGGGGCTGCTTTCCTTAGTGCGTAAAGTACTGTCGTAAAGTAACTTGCTGAAATGGACCTCTGGAAAATGCTGAATCTAATCGAATTGCAGCTACTTCCCTATCTACCAGTTGAATTTAGACCACTTAATCTCTGCGCCTGTTTGTCATCGGGAAACTAGACTAAATGATAGTGTTTTCATCAGAGCCCTTAGAACACTGCTGGTACTCAAGCTCACTAAAGTTAATACTAATTTTAAAGGGGGAGCTCTGGTAGCATAGTGGCTAAGACACTTGCCTGCTAACCAGACGGCTGGCGGTTCAAACCCACCAGCCACTCCTCGGAAGGAAGGTTGGGCAATCCTACTTCCGTAGTGATACTGCCTCGGAAACCCAAGGAGGGGTCGCTATGAGTCAGGGCCGACTTGACGGCACATAATAACAACAACAACAATAACTATTTTAAAGGGGTCAAACGCATAAGCTCCCTAACGCAACCGGAAAAGAATGCAGAGTCGAGCCCCATGCTGCTCACAAAGTTGCTATTATGTATCTGGTAAGTTAGCTGCTTTCTCCTGAAGGAGTGGTGATCTGAGACCCTGCAGAAATCCTGCAAGTACTGTTCACTTGGGTTCTTTTTGAGTTGCTGGGATTTTTCGGGGACTAGGTTTTAAGCCTTGGTGGAGGATGAGTAGAAAGGAAAGGGAAGGTAGAGCAAGCTTAGGTCTCGCGCCGAGCGGCTTCTAAAGGCCCAAGCAGAGGCAAGAAGCGGCTTAATCACACGCTCCTGGAACTCCATTGGAGCGCTTTGCATGCGTTGGTTTTTAGTATTTACACCCAAGTGTGTGCTGGGAGAGTCCAAGCGAAAGCTCATTGCTCAGTTGCCCACTTTCCAGTTAGTGGCACCGGAGGCTGAGCGGTCTTGAAGTAACCTCGCCGTCCCTCTCATCCTCTGCTCGATTCCAGTTTAGTATAAGGCAAATCAGCCGGAAAACAACTGACCACCTTGATAGCCACAAGTTAGAATCTTCCGAGGTGTTTTTGAAGTTGGAACGACTCTTCGATGGTGGGTTAGAGAACCATCAGACGGAGGAAGGAAGTGCTGACTCCTCGGAGATCCGCTGGCCAGTCCTGCAGCGCTCCGGCCTGGGGTCCACTGAGACGCTCCGGCCCAGCACTTTTTGTACGGTGGAAAACTTCGCTCTTTGAGTCAGAATTGCTTTCACTAGCTCAACCAGGTTGCCCTTGAACCCAGCTCTTAGTTGTGTGACTTTGGTGGAAGTATTTATACAACCTTTCCCACCTTCCCGTTTCCTTGGTCTGCCTATCCTCACCTTGTGAAGAAAATGGGCCCAGCACTGTGGCTCCTAAAATGACAACTAAAAGTACCACAGAAATGCCTAACCCTTTGCTAGACACTGTGCCAGGCAAAGTTACCCAGTTTCTGCGTATTAACGCATTTAATCCTCCAAATAATTTTAAAGGTAGGTATTTATATCCATTTAAAAAATTATAAAATTGAGAGAAATGTGAAATACCTAGACCAGGAAACCAGTGCTCTAATCTCTGGCCCTTCTATCCACCATTCCCCAAGTCAGAAATAAAACCAGTAAATAATACATGACCAGTCAACTTTGTCCACATACCAGAAATTTGCTAACTGCATGCTGAACTGTATGAAGAATTTAAGAATGGAGAGAAGAGGATTTCTCTGAGATCTACTTAAAGGAATGTAAATTGAGAGTTAGTGTTGTAAACCCAGATAAAATACATTTTTGATGTAGGGTTTGACAAGTAAAGATGAGTAATACAGGACTTGATACTGATTAATTGTAGGGAGAAGGAAAGAGCATTAAAGAATATTTGCATTTGACCCCACTCCACCCCAGACTTCAGTAAGGAGCTCTGGTAACACAGTGCCACCAGCCACTCCACGGAAGCAAGATTGGGCAATCTACTTCCACAAAGATTTACCGCCTCGGAAACCCAATAGGAGTCATGAGCTGGAATCAACTCAATGGCAGTGGGTTTGATTTTTTTTTTTTTTTTTTTTTCCCTGGACTGCCATGGTAAAACTTTGGATTCGATTGTTAACCTAGTGAGTGACACATTGTGTTAATTTTGTTTTGTCATCTTCAGAGAGACCTTGAAGTCAAGTACCCCATCTTGTTAGAATGCAGTCAGCACAGACCCTGGCATACAAAGACACTTGGTAATTGGGCATTGAATAAATGAGCTGAGTTGGTGGCTGGACAGCTAGGAAAGCTATTTGTTCTAGATGGCCAGTGTATTACCAAAGAAGACATTAAATACCCACCAGACTAAGCAGGCTGGTAATAGCATCTTCCCTTTCCAATTAAAAAAAAAAAAAAAATCCCTTCTGAAAATCCAACTCGCATGAGCAACTTGTTTGGAGGCTTCAGAGAAGCACAGAAGGTTCCAGATGACCAGCTCTAAGCTGGTCTTAGAGCTCTAAGAAATGCTAAGAGCCTGCTCTGCAAACAGAAGACATTTGTCAAAATTCACTCCTGGCTCCCCTTCCCCAATTGCTTCATCACTCCAACTTGGTTCTTCACCTTCTATTTTGAAATGTCACTGTTTATATCCAAAAACTGGTTGTCACTTCTGGGAAAAATTCTCTAGTGGGCAATAAACTCTTGGTAGATTCAGTTAGTTAGTTTACAACCCTTGAGCAGGGCCCTGGGGAAGACTGGTTAAATTGGGGCCAAGTGAGGAGAGTGCTAAAACAGCTTCAAACCACTTCCGTTTTGACCCCCTGCTGAGAATTTGTATTTCCACTCCTGATACACTGAATCAGAATCTACATTTTATTTTAACAAGATCCTCAGGTGATTCTTATAAATCCCCAGGTGATGCTTAGGTGTACCAAAGAACCGCTTGGGGATCTTATTAAAATGTTGATTCTGATTCAGTATGCCTGAGGTAGAAATGCAAATTCTTGGCAAGGGATTAAATTGGAATGAACTAGTTCAAAGCCCTGTGCTAAACTTGACCTCCCAGTCATTGCTGAAATGTGAGGCTGACAAAGGATTATTATTTGGAGTATCCCAAATGGATTTGAAACATCACCAATTATAATAACCTTTTTAAAATTTCTTTGTAATCTATAACCAAAACCAAACTCCCTGCTGTGGAGTTGATTCGATTTAGCAACCCCTCCTTGGGTTTCCAAGGCAGTATCTATATGGAAATACATCGCCCAATCTTCCTTCCGAGGAATGGCTGGTGGGTTTGAACCACCAGCCTTCTGGTTAGCAGTCAAATGCCTTAGGCACCACGCCACCAGATAGACTATGAAATAAATAAATAAAATATATATATATATATGAAATATATATATATATAAACTATGAAATAAGTATATATTATTATTATTTATAATATATGTTATGTATAATAGTATACATAATATATATTATATATAATGTATATATATATTTGACTGCTAACCAGAATGATACATATTTATTTTTTTTCTTTACTCCATCTGTCTTCTCCACTAACTTCCTGATTTATTTTTGCTGAGTTGAGCTCTTCCGCATTTTTAGAAATGTAATGAAGGACTTCCCAGGTATTCTCAAACACAGAATAAGGGTTCATAGCCCCAAGATTTTCTCTTATCTGGGCAATCTACTTCTGTAAAGATTCACCACCTCCGAAACCAAAGGGAGTCATTAGGGTCACTATGAGTCGAAATCGACTCATTGGCAGTGAGTTTGGTTTGGTTTACTGTTTTTATTTCAATACCTTAATAATGTCTCAAATCAACTGAGTAGCATCAGGAAATCTACTAAATGGCAGTGCTTCCCTGTGTTTTCATCTATACAAGAAAAGTGTATCGTTAAAAATAATAATAATACAATAAACAGACAAATCTATGACGAACAAATAAGCATGATCATTGTAACTGCAAGAGATCAGGGAATGTGACACACAGACTTAAAGTGGCATGTAGACTTAAAAGTGTAGTCATTGAAAAAAGGCTAGTAAAAAAACTCTACTAAAGCCAAGAAACCAAACCCACTGCCATCAAGTCTGTTCTGACTCGTTATCGACCCTATGGGACAGAGTAGAACTGCCCCATAGAGCTGCCAAGGCTGTAATGTTTACTGAAGCAGATTGCCACATCTTTTTCCTGTGGATAGGTTTGGTGGATTCAAACCACCAAACTTTTGGTTTGCAACTGAGCACTTTAACCACTGCACCACCATGGTTCCTAGAACTCCATTGCTTTCATTATATTTGTTTTACAGTAGTTTGAATTGTAGTTAGGACTCAGAACTTAATCCATGTTGATTATGATTGAGACTTTCTGAAAGAAGTTAAAG